TTTTTTTTAAAAAAGTGCTTTATCCTTACAACAACCCTGTGAGGTAGATCTTCCTAGGAATAGGAACTGCCCTGAACAATTCAAAGCCAGTTTTCGGTCCAGTGTTATATTCCACTGGCAACTTCTGTGTTTATTTCTTAGATTTAAGTCCCAACTTCTTTTTTTTAAGACTTCAAAGCAACAAATATACCCTTCAATTCCTCCCCCACCCCCAACAACTCTGTGAGGTAAATTGGGCTGAGAGACATAACTGGCCCAATTCCTGCCAGTAGCCAGGGCTGAAGGTAAGACTTGAACCCCGGATCCTGATGCAACGGCTGCATTCCCTGACTTTCTCCTTGGCTGGAAATCCCTTGCCTGATTCTTCACACATGTGGGTTGTTTTTATTACCTGCCCTGTTGTGTTCCCAAGTCCGATGACCTCAGGCAGGTGGAGAAGTGACACCAACAGACAGCATGATCCATTGGTATCTGTGAAGAAAGGGCACTGCCTTTTTGCTCCCCCTCTTCTGTGAAATAAATCCTCTCAGGGTTCTCTAGATTGGAGCACTGAATGGAAAAACAGCTGGGCTGTTTTTTCCACCTCTGTCTTTCCCAGTTCCATCTTGATGGGGAGCAAGATGTTCCCTGCACCAGGCTAAAAAGCCACAAGAGAGCTTACAGCAGTGCCTTGAAGCAAAGCCATCTCCCAGCTCATAATTACGGCTTGGGTGATCTTTTTATTTTCTCTCCCTCCCCCCTCACACCCACACCTTCACTTAGGCGGCTTAGTAGTGGATTGGATCCCGCTTGCTGTTTATTTTTATTTTTTTAAAAAAAGCTTTTCATGTCAGGACAGAGTTGATGTTTTTGCAAGTGCTTGGCCTCGGCATATGCCAAGAAAACAAAAGGGCCGACCTTTTTCAGGTCCTGTCTGTCTGGACAGGAAATAGATATACTATACTCACAAATACAACACGCACACAGCTCCCAAGCAGTTATTTTGCCTTTATGGCAGTACATTCCTTGATGGAAGAGAAGAAGGGGGGAAAAAATAGAAACCACTGATGTGTCTCGGGCCAGAGAGGTTTGCTGACGTTTAACATTTGAAGCCAAAGCAGTCCATAGCCCGGGAGGCAGGGAGAGAGGTGTGTGTGTGTGTGTGTGTGTGTGTGTGTGTGCGTGTGTGCGTGTGTGTGTAGAGAACAGATACAGTGCTTCCTTCTCCCCTTCCTTTGCTTATTTGCATCGTTTCTAGTTTTGGTCGAAAAGAATCGAGGCTCCATGTGGATACCGTCCCCATTTTCCCCCCCACTACCTTTCTGCCTTCCTTTTTCCTGTCTCAAGAATCTTGCTCATCGGATTTTAACTCGCATTTGACTCCTTTCATATTTTACCTATTTCATCATACATATTTTACACATCGGATTTTTAGCATCCAGGTTTGCTGCGTGCAGATTTGCACATGGGAACCTTCCCCCACCTCCTCTCCGCCCCACAGTGTGAAAAGTGGCAAGAGGTCAAGAGGAAGATTCACAAAATGGGTGCACTCATCGCTTTCCTTCCCCCCCCTTCAGAAAAATGACCCCCCCCCTTTCAGCCATTCCGGGATTAGTCTTAAATCCTGTGGAAATTACCCCATTCCTTCAAAATGGGACGGTACCTGGAACTCTGTCTCTCTCTTAATCCAAGAGATGATAAAAGTTTATTCATTCCTGCTGATAAACTCCCATTTCTAGCTATGTTTTGTTCTGCAGTTCGGTCATATCTTTTCATGTGGTATTGTTTTGTTCTGGTTTTTTAACAGTGGAAAACACTCTTGAGCAATTCTTGACTTCAAATCCTGGATGGAAGTCAAGACAAATTCAATCCAGGAAAAAAGACTGATCTTGTTTGACTGACATTGGAAAGTTTATTTGTAAAGGGGATGGTCAAAGATCCTCCTCTTTGGTTTTGATGGACAGTTAGGTCAGATTTAGTTTCTCATTTACCTCCGTTAGTTTCTTATCCTTTTTCTGTGCCTTACACAGAATGTCTTCCTTGATAGCCAACGGATGCTACGGTTCTGCATTTAATCCTGGACTAAAATACACCTCAGTTTTTGCTTAGCCAGCCTCCCAAGCAATTTTTATTCGTGATATTTTCCGAGAGCGGTCAACCAGATTCTTTTAATTTTGGCTGCTACTTCTCCTTTTAAATAACCGCCCTTCCTACCCAATTGTGAGGAAACCTGGCTTTTCTCTTTGTTTCATATATTACAGTTGAAGGAGGTTTGAGCTGCATGGCATTGGGTATACAATATCTCAATATGAAATTAATTCCATCTTTCTTTTACAAATAATGGGATTATGTGTACGCTTCCATGGCATGTGTAAAATTATGTTGTGAGAGAATGAACATATTTGGAGAGAGAGTGACAAGAGTGAGAGAGACAGAGAAAGAGAGGGGGGAATGTTTCAGCTCTATTTTTCAAGCTACTATTTTGTGTTACATTTTGGATTGTATCTTGAGGTTGCAAAAGCCATGAGAAATCTGTTGAAGCTGATGAAAGAAGATGACTCGTTTAATTCTGTGGGACAACCCCTGCCTTCAATCTTTCCATTCCAGTTTAGTTTATATCTTTGGCTGTTTGACTACTATGATGATGAATCTGTTGGCAGATAATGCTCACAGCATTTACAAAGTTGGTAATCGGGATTCCAAACGGATGATTCCTAAATGCCAAGAATAAATCTGAATTTCTGTCTTGCTTCCTTTAGAATGACACCTCTTCACCGTCTAATAAATATACCCCTCATTCTTTGCATTTGGCTTCTGAAATAATCAAGCTGGAATTACTAATGTCTGAATCCAGTGGAATTTACTTTTGAGTAAAAGATACAATGGATCAGGCACAAATTGCTTTATGTTTGCGAGTGTGTTTGTAGGCATGCAGGCGTGTGTATGTACTGTCATGGGCTTGTATGCGGTGTGTTGATCTATTTTTAATTCAGTTGTTTGAAGGTAGGTTTGGGTATAGCTTATTTGCTTCTCTGAAGTTGTGATGAGTTTTCTATGCATAGAATTTTCTTAAAACTACATATATATTTCCTTAAGAACAAGCTTGGATGCTAGGCGAAACTACATTTTTCCCCCCCTCATGAATGTAGGTGAGTGACAAATCGCAGTCGCAGCTCTTGTTATGATTTTCGAAATTCCATAAGAAAATATAGCGGTGACAGTTGAATTTCTCAAATCTACACCAGCACAATGTGGTATCTGGTATATTTCATTGCTTGTACCGTGTTTCCCCCAAAATAAGACCCTGTCTTATATTTTTTTGAACCCTAAAATAAGCGCTTGGCCTTATTGCCATGCACTCAAAAGCCCGATTGGGCTTATTATCAGGGGATGTCTTATTTTGGGGGAAACAGGGTACTAGTACATAAGTCTCATGGGTGAGGTAAGGAATGTTTGACTGAAATTACTGGAATGGTTCATCACATAGAACCTACCTGGATCCATTTTGTAGGAGGCCAAGGGATGCAATTCTCTATCCTCTTACTTAATGGCTTGCAGTCGGACTTAGAGTAAAGGAAATTCACTTAAAGAAAAGGGAAGGGAAGAAATGCAGTTGATAACTGGAAGAAAAAACATTGGGGAAAATGATGGCCAAATGTTTATTGCGATCATGTTGGTTTTGTGCCTCTGAAGCAAACTCTGGCATTTGCATCCCTTCAGGTATAGTCAGCTGCTTCTTTTCACAGCAAAGTGCAAGATGTGATACAGGGTGGATGGTGGTATCTATTCAGCTTCTCTACATTTTAACAGATAAGATTTAGCCTTTTAAAAAATCAGATGTGCTACGTTGGCTGGCATACATTTCCTCACTTGAAAATGGGGTTTTCTCGGATTAGGTTGTAGGTTTGAAAAATTGCCCCAAGAGCTTTAGGAGGAGAGAAGGTTAGAGTCAGATTTGTGAAGATAGGAGAAGGTTCATAATGAACTAATTAAGGAAGGAACGTCTTGTAATAGCTGTAGAAGTCCTGTCTGATCTGTTTTATTTTCAATTTGGACCAAGGAAGAAAGAGATATCTTAGGTAGGGTTCTTTGAAATAAATGTAAATAATAATAAAATTTGAGACAGCAGGCGACGGAGGTCTTGGTGTGCTATGGTTCATGGGGTCGCGAAGAGTCAGACACAACTTAGCAGCTGAACAACAACAACAACCAAATTGAAGGGAAAGGACTTGCATTTTGCTGAGATGGGTGTGAAATTAAAACAGTGGCTCTGATCTATGACTTGATATATTCCAACCTTATAGAGTGGAAAAAATGTTCATACAGATGTAACCCTGTGGAGGCTGTGAAAAGTCTTATTATTTTTATTGTGATGTTTTAAGAAGAGACAAGAGGAAGAAAGTGGCTTGACAGAATGCCTGCAGGTCTGGATGCTTGTAAAACTGGGATACCGTCAAGTCAGAAAGGGTTGAGTTGAATCTGATCTGTGAAGAAATTTCCTGCAGTCTTCTAAGCGAGGCCATTGTGCACCCAGATAATTCAATATATATATATATATATGGTTACATGAGGTCTGATTGGGATATAAACTACTATTTGAAGCTCCTTTGGAGTTTGATGCATGATCAATGACCAACATCTATAAGGTGCTAATCATTTAAATATGGAAGAATGATAAGGAAAGCCACACAAAAGCATTTCTACACAATTTCTTCCCCTCTGAGTGGGAAGTGAAAAACACAACATTGCTTTATGTGCAGATAACAGGATATTCCTGCACAGCTAAATAGCACCATCTTCTGGGCAACAAAAATTTAAACATCATAGATATTTGTCTATTGTTTCCTATCACACATCTTTGCTTTCGATCCTTCCCAGATCTTTTTCTGACTGTGACTTAAAAAACAACAATATTTTCTGGTCTGTATATTCCATGGAGCAATCAACACTTTGTTATTTGTTCTTTTTCTGTAACTGGTTTAAGATTTTAACTTATTTTTTTTATTTTATTATTATTTTAGGCCTCTGATGCCAGCTCAGAAAAGTTGTTCAACACAGTCACAAACAAAGGTAAGTTTACACGCTTCCTTCTTCAGTTCTGTTTATTGTGCTACCTCTGTTACATCTTATAATTTCCATAAATCCTATCTTTGCCATTGGAGGTTTGCTTCATTTTTTTTTTAGGCTGCTGTTTGTATTCTGAAACTCGGGGGAAAGAAACCGTGCTTAAAAAGGAAAGAAAAAAACTCATTAAATATTATTCAGTGATATCTGATTTGCTAGGTGTAAATGAATTGAAATCCCCATTTTTGGAAATGTTTCAAAGTGGCTGTTTTCCATCCGTTTGTGCGATGAGTACAGATTTAAGAAAAACTAATTTGTATGTTAGGCAGTTACTGTTAAAAGCCATTTAGGGTTTATGTCATGAGGATTATGCATGGAATCCTATCTGTGGGAGCTGCTTTTAAAAAGTCAATTAAAAAAAAAAAACTTGTATGCGACAATCTTCTGTAACATACGATTGGTTTCATTAATTCCTCCCAGGCTGCCATAAATATGGGTGTGTGGTTAATGGCCATAACAAGAGGGTATAGCTGGGTTTGCAGCAATGAATTAATAAAAAGTTATTTTGAGTGTACTACTATATAATGGGATTTTCTGTATGTGTGTCTGGATGTATTCAGTACAGAAAGTCCTTGACTTAGAACCATTCATTCAGTGATCGTTCAAAGTTACAACGGCACTCAAAAAAAGTGACTTGCAACCATCACAGCATCTCCACAATCATGTGATCAAAATTTGGGCAGCTTGTATTTAAGATGGCTGCAGCATCCAGAAGTCACGTGTTTGTCATTTGTGATCTTCCCAGCTGGCTTCTGACCAGCAAAGTCAATTGGTGGGGGGAAGCCAAATTCACTTAACCATGATTCATTTAACTGCAAGTGATTCATTTAACAATCGTGGAAGAAAAAGAAAGATTGAAAAATTGGGCATGACTCATTTAACAACTGCTTTGCTTAGCAACTGAAATGCTGTTCTCAATTGTGGTCGTAACTCGAGGACTATCTGTACTGAGATGGAAAGCGGAGAAGATCTTTATCGAAGACGGGCAATTTTAAAGATTTAGAATCAGGTTGCGGTACCTTCATTTTAATCTTTCTTTTCTATTTCTTCTGCTTCACTGAGCCTCTCATATTAAGTTCCTGTTTGGTTAAGCAGAGTATTTATAGAAAAACTTGGCATCTTATGAAGTCCAAAGACAGTTTCTAGGCAGGATTGATTAGTGACTGAAAGCCTGAGAAGAATTCAGTTTTAGTGTTTAGCCTCTCTAATTGAAAAAAAAAAAAAGGTTGAGCCATGAACTTACTTTGAAGGCCTTCTCTGGCACTGTCTTTAAAGTCTAAATGGGACTTAAGTTCTTGGCAGTATTTCACCAAAAATGAATCAACTGAAGAAAGAAAAATGCCATTCTGACTTTCAGTGTTTTAAAAAAATCCAAATACTTTTGAATTAAAGTGAACGTCTAGTTGGAGCTCAATATCCTTGAAATTTGCTAGGATTTAGCAGAAGTGGTTGGTCACTGTCTTTTTTGGGGGGATGAGTTTTCAACTTCCTAGTCCAGCCTACAATTCTGAAATTTTCTGGTAAACTCCCTGCCAAGAACTATGTAGTAATTCTTAATTCACTCCTTCCTAAAACCTGAAAAGATAAGGAAAAACCTGGGGAATTAAAGCCCAGAATGGTATCAAATGCAGCTGCTAGAAGTTGGAAATAATCTTGGTTGGCTGTTTGATAGTGTCGATGGGTTTTGTTGCTCAAAATAGACAAGACCTCTAGAAGACCAAGTTTTTGCACAGTTTTTCTTATAATGAACAAGCAACTTTTCTGGGTGAGATTCAGCTTGGCTTTTTGGTAAAATGTAGATAATTAATGACTATAGGCAGGGACCTGTTTTATTCTATTTTGCATTGATCAGATTCTGGGGCCTCAAAACACCCAACATAACAGAATCACAGAGTAATAGAATAACAATAGAATAACAGAGTTGGAAGGAACCTTGAAAGTTTTCCAGTCAATCCCTCTGCTCAAACAGGAGGCCCTACACCATTCCAGACATATGGCTGTTCAGTCTCTTCTTAAAAACCTCCAGTGTTGGAGCACCCACAACTTCTAGAGCAGGGGTCTCCAACCTTGGCAACTTTAAGACTTGTGGACTTCAACCTCCAGAGTTCTTCAGCCAGCTTTGCTCTGGGAGTTGAAGTCCACAAGTCTTAAAGTTGCCAAGGTTGGAGACCCCTGTTCTAGAGGCAAGCTGTTCCACTGATTAATTGTTCTCACTGTCGGGAAATTTCTTCTTAGTTCTAAGTTGCATCTCCCTTTGACCAGTTTCCATCTGTGACCTCTTGTCCCAGCCTCAGATACTTTGGAGAATAGGTTATTGTCTCCTCTTTGTGACAACCCCTCAAATATTGGAAGACTGCTATTATGTCACCCCTAGTTATGATAGACACACTACCCCCCCCTTTTTTTTTTACATGGGTCATGCATGTGATACATGTAGAAAAGGGGCAGGGTTTCAATTATAAAGTTGGGGCTGCTATCTTGACTATTTTTTAAAACTTCATTTTGCAGATGGCTCTGTTCTACACCAAAGAGGAAGTTAAACTCATTAGCTTAATTAGCCCTTTTTAATTTTAAGGTTCTGTGTTCAGATAACAAGGTGAACAAGACCAGATTAAGATCTAGCAAATGCTAAGCTTTAATATTGGTTTGATGTTTTGGATGTGGGTGTGTATTTTATAGTTTGTTCTGTTGCATGAACCCAACCTGTCTGGCTGTTCATGTTTTGCAACCTGGACAACTTCCAGTATGGACTTCAATTTTCAGAATTCTCAGCAATGGTCCCGATCGGAGAATTCTAAGTGTTGTTGAAGTCCTAATTTCAGGAATTTTCCAGGAAGCATTCTGAGGCTAATATGTGATTTGTATATTGTGCAAACCAAGAACATGAATTAATTCAGTAACTGGATAAGGTACGGTATGTTGTATAAATGCAACATGTTAGGTAATTTGGAACTAACATTCAATTTGAATTCTAGTTGAATTTAGTTAAGGTTTAATTCAACACAGTTGCTTTAATTACTCTTCCAGTATTTGATCATTTCCCTCTTCTGTCTTCTTAACAATTTTGGGAACAACGACTTAAAATTTTTTGGATCACTTTGTGGCTGCAGGTAATGAACCTTGGGCACAGGTATCTCTTATTTATTTATTAGATTTATACCCTACTTTTCTTTCCTATATGTATGATAGTATATAGAACATTTGTTTGCTTTCCCAAACAATCAGTACTGTAAATGTTCCTGAAAGAAAGTTGTTGTTTTTTTCCTTAGTGTGTTTGAGTCATTCTTGACCTCTAGCAACGACATAGACAAGTCTTGGCAAGATTTTCAGAAGGGGGTTTGCCCTGGCCTTCTTCCTAGGGCTGAGAGAGAAGGATTGACTCAAAGTCACCCAGCTGGTTTCTGTGCCTAAGGCAGGATTAGATTAGATTAGTCTCTTGATGCCTAGCCTGGTGCCTTTAGCCATTATACCAAACTCTCTTTAAGACGAACCGACCTTCTGAAAAGTCAGACAAACTGACCTTCTGAAAACTGAAAAGTCACCCAGGGAACTTTTGTGATTGAGGAGGGATTTGAACTCAGATCTCCCTGGTGCCAGTTCAACACTTAATCACTATGCCCCCACTGGTTCCTTTGAACTTTTATATAGGAAACTGAGCATCATATGTAGTGCTTTGAAGTAAATAAATCTTACACTAAGCATATAAGTCTTTAAAGAAGTGCATACCTCTTTACATGTTCACCTTTGACAACTGGGTTAAATGAACGAGTGGTTTAGTGTGATGCAGGACAGAGTCGTAGATTATGATTTTTAATTGTCTTTCTTTCAAAGATTCATTAGTTACTTTGATATATTCTATTAACATGTGATGGAATTTGCTTCCCAGTTTCTAAAAAGTTTTGTCTCCTGGCAAAAGAGACTTCTGTAGTTCCTCCTCCATCTCAGGTTATTTCAGCATTTATTTCAAATTTATTTTGGAGGTGTTTTGGAGCTTATTTTATTGCCAAAGATGGCTAGCGATTTTCCCATAATTAACATCAGTAACATAATGGTTGTAGGAGTTTCTGGATATGAGGATTTGTGAGCTGGCTGTCACATTCAATCTTCAGAACATGAGTTTGTACTTGTGGTTTAGCAGCAGGGGATATCTGGTTCGGTTTCTTGCCTCTTGTTCTCCAAATTATGGAATATGGAAGATCTACCTCATTGGCACTCATCTTCCATAAGAACTAAGATTTGAAAAATTAGAGCTTCTCTTTGGTCATTAGCAATTATGTGTGGTTATCCGAGATCTGAGTAAGCTTGCAGGCCTGAAGTTCATGTAGAAGTAGTCCTTGATTCACAACTGTTCATTTAATGATTGTTCGAAGTTATGACAATGACTCACAGCGTGCCTCGTCTTTATGACTGTCACAACATCCCCACAATCATCTGGTCAAAATTTGAGCGCTTGGCATGTTGTTGTTGTTTTTTTTTTTTACAAAAGTTGCAATGTACCAGGGTCATGAAACCATTATTGGTGACCTTCCCAGCCAGTTTCTACCAAGCAAAGTCAGTGAGGCAAGCCGGATTTGCTTAATGACAATGTGATTCACAACTGCAGTGATTCACTTAACAACCCTGGCAAAAACGGTCATAAAATCAAGTGTGACTCACGTAACAACCACTTGTTTAGCAACGGAAATTCTAGTCCTAATTGTGTGCATACTTTGAGGACTATCTGTATTGCAATTATTGTCTTCGCATGCAGTGCTCAAACACAGAAACTACCATATGTTACAGCATATGCTAAGTGAGCTCCTAAACAATGACAAAAAATAGCTCATTTTGGTCTTGCTTACAACAATGCTAAAGGGATGTGGTGGCTCAGTGGCTAAGACGCTGAGCTTGTTGATCAAAAGGTCGGCAGTTCAGCGGTTCGGATCCCTAGTGCTGCGTAACGGGAT